CCACTTAAGATGAGTAATACTACCGACCCTCTGGTAGCAGAGAAGCAAGAGTGGGCCAAGCGCACGGTTTCAGTTAAGCGTGGGGTCGAGGTTCTTTCTTCTGTTTTTTTTTTCAATCTCATTTCTCCTTCATTAAGTCAACAAACATTTATTTTGCATACAGCATGACCTAAACAGTCTGCTAGGTCTGTAGAGCAGAGAATCTCTTGCCTTTGACCCCAGGGATTGTATGGTACAGATACACAGAATTGGACAACTGCTCTTGGCTTGGAGAAGATACCTAAGGTCTGAGTAGTTCCACCACTGCTCAAGCAGTTTATGAACTTTCCTTTCCTCATAGGAATGCAATGACTGTTCTAATCATTCGTAAGGCATTTGGAAATCAAAAGTGCTATACAACAGCTGAATGATATTGAGATACTAAGTAGAAAATACAGGAGAAATAGAAAGCAAGATTAAATTATATGGTAGGGATGGTTCTCATAGGTATTTTTAGTACTTATGTCATTATAATAGCACTGCTCCCAGGGAAAAGCTAAATTAGGTAAATACAACTGATTTTGCAAAATCAAGAAAAAAAAATCTGTGTGTGTCAGCAAGAAAGATCGTGGAATCTTATATTGGGTATTACATGAGGTAATATATAGTTGGATTATCATACATAGTGTGGAATATCCACACATCTACAGTTTCTATTAGAAATACTATGCTTTTCCATTGTTTGAAGTATTTCTCTAGTAATTTTTAAATGCTACCACTATTCAAGACTATTACTTACCAACAAGAGATTATATTCTCATACTCAAAACCTACAAGAAGTTTCTTTAAATTATATAGGAGGGATATTTGTTGTTTCTCTGACTTACCTATTGTATGTTGGGTTGGAGAGAGTTGTTAACAGTGATTTATCATGATTAATCCTTTCTGATTTTACTTGATTTTAAAGTTTGTTACTTTTCTCAGAGGATTTCTCAGAGGATACAAATCTCAGTTTGTATCCCATCCTATATCCTCAGAAGATAAAGAACTTATTGAATTGGGCACTTCTTTCATATGCTTTTATGTGGTCATTTTTACATCCAAGGGAGATTCTCAAACTGTAGAAAAAGGAAAAGGTCCTTTTTTGCTAGTCATTTAATATTCCATGACTATGAACTAATCCTCATTTTAATATAAGTTATTGTATGTTTTTCCCAGCATTTTCACCCTAATTAAATGAGACGCTCCACCACAGTGTTTAACCTGCAGCATAACAAAAGACAAGGGGCTGTCACTGACAATCACAATCCCATGTTCTCTCCTTTGAACAATACAATTTTTTTTGGTCACAATTTATAAAGAGACACCTCCTTAGTTTAATGTCATCACGTTCAAACTACAAAACTATTAAAACTCTAATATTATGTGGGGGGCATTTATTTTAAAATATATATTAATATAACTCTTACATGGTAAAGAAATCATTTATTTTATTGTCTTCCCCCAGTTCACCAAATTTAATCATATGGAGAGGTTCCACCACGTTTGTTCCTTATGTTTGTGCTTTGGTCTCTAATGACCTTTTGTCCTTATTATATGACCCCTCTACATTTCTATTTAGAATAAAGAGATAGAAGCATGAAAAGCATCAAACCTTTTTTGCTGTGCTTAATAGGAACGAACACTTAAGGCTAGAAACCTTATGTTTAGTACTGTCTCCAAAGCTCGGTTATTGCATACATTGTCCCTTCAACATTTGAAGAAAGTAAGTCTAATATATAGTCAAATTTGTTTTTAAAAGTGTTAAAAGAAAGGCACTTAATGTCTGTGCATTGCATGACAGCGTGTGACTAAAATTTGCCTACATAAACTCTCATGATGTTTTCAGATTTTATGGAAATGCTTTGGCTATACTTGGGTTTGAATCTTCATAATGACAAAAGTTCTTAATAGTTATTTTTTTAAAATACACTATACTGTTTTTAGAAAGTTATAATTCATCTTCCTGCTTATATTTGTGCTGTTTGTCTGTACTATACTATTAAAAATAAAGGTAAATTTATATATACTTAGATTTTGAAAAGTAGCATCATGTACATTTTTAAAATGTTTTGGTAACTTGTGGCACTTTGGTAAAGGAATGTGCAATTATAAAAGTTTTTTCCATTGTAATTTTTTTTTTAATTCCCAGGAATGACTCTTACTAGGCTTTAAAATCGAAACCAAACCCAATTTTAAAACTAGCACTTTGGTCCTACTGGTAGTTCCTGTTTTTCTAATTGTATGGAACATTAACTTAAACCATTCTTTGCAATGCGTTTTACCTTTCCTCTTACATCTAATCTCAAAAATCTTTAAAGAACATTTTAAATTAATACAGTGGTAATTAGGAAAGCATTTTAGATATCATGGCCCTTTAATCTGGTGCCTGACTTTAGCAATTTTCTGATAAAAATAACTAAACACCTAAAAAGAATCTTTAAACATTTTAATTCATTATAGCAAAATCAAGTAGTTGATGTCCATATAGACATAATGTATCTTAAAATCTGGAGCTGCCAGGATAACTAAGGACACAGTTGTGTTTAAAATACCCCCATATCCTCCAAAGAAAAATGACAAGAAGAAATAGAATTCTGTATGATTATGGCTATTGTATATACTTCAATTAGGTTACCAGTATTTTATTCTGATACATTTGTGGGTATTAGAAGCAAAATGAAAACAAATATAAATGCTTTAACATTAGATATTGGCATCAATATAGATTATGCATAAGCTATTGCAATAAAAAATGTTAATTGTGCCTGTATTTGAAGATATTATCTTAGATTTCCTGTGGCCTCTTTCATTTAAGGCTGCACAATCATTTTAAATGTACAGACAACAGAATATATGAATGAATGAAGTCATGGCCCTGTTTGCCATGAAATGAGTATTCTGTTGAATTTGGGGGGGCATTTGCTGTTATATATTATGACATAAATGGATCAGTCACAAGAAACATGTGAATCTTATGTTCAAATCACATCATTTAGAAATTATACATCTTTCTTTTTCCTCACAAAATGAATTCAGAATTTGCAATTCAAATGTTATCATTTTAAGCTGCTAATTATTAAAAATTACCTAATATGGATCAAAAGATTAAATGAAATAAAAATTATGAAAGAATGCTAATTAATAGCATAACCCCATATGCTATCAAACTTCTGATAATGTTAAGTTTCTTATAAAGCCTTAAAATATTTTAATGAAAAAGTAATTACCTGAAAATAAAGGCACTTTATTACCTTGAACTAGCTATATGTCTGTATAGAACTTGTCTAAAATCCCATAAAATATTCTTTATCCTTTTATAAATTTATCCTACTTATGTGTTTTTCTAAAGCTTCTTATAATAAAATATAATAATTTAAACTATTTTAATGAAACAAAATTGTATTACATAATACAACCAATGAACACTACAGGAAGAAACTCAAGTGTAACAAAAAGTGTTTGTGATAATGGCAAAACTGTTCGTCCGAGTTAGTCTACAATCATCTGAGGTTAAAATGTTGTAAAATTTGAAAGCTTTTTCATTGAGCAATTTTTAGACAGCTTTTATTTTTTTAATCTTATTTTTAATTGGTACTAACTTGTTTTGAAACGTTGATCAAAGATAAGGGCAATCAAAACTATTAAGCCAGCCTGTCATTACTCAATTTTTAGTTGAGGTGTTTTTTTTTTTTAATGTAATCCTAACACATTAAGAAATCAGTGTTGCTTCTATGCTGAAATCAACCATGCCTGGTGAATTACCAGATTTAAATTGGTAATGTGGATGTGCTGCCATGTATACTTGCTTCCTCTTCAGAAAATTAATACTTGATTTAAACAATAGATTTGATTCAACAGAAAAAAAAACAACAGGATTTTTTTTCAAAAGCTAAGTTTTTTTCTCAAGGTACACCTTACATCTCTTTGATATTTATAAGGATAGGCTAACTTGTATCCAAATATATTTTTCAACACAAGAATATTTCAAAGCAAACAGACTTAGTGGATTTTTTTTGGTTTTATTTGAAGGCAGTTCACTTAAGAAAAAAAATTTTTTTCCATAATTTTACTTATTTTTAATTCTTTCTCTGTAGTGGTCATTTTCATGTTACTAGTCTTAAACGTTATACTACATGTAAATGCTGCTTCATAGATGCAATCATCATTACATGGTACAGAAAGGAGTCAAGTTTATTAGAAGTCTACTCTTACCAAGAAGAGACTAAAGATAAATTCCATGTCAATTCTTTGTTTATTCGTTTTGTTTTTTTTTCTAAATAAGATATATTAACCCAAAGGTGTGTTAATGTCATGGCATGAACAATCTTAAATGTAGATCTATCGAGTATTTTGTGATGCTAAGTAACAGATTTTTCTCAAGTCTCTGTGATGCTAAATACTTTCCTTAGAAGGTTTTTGTTTCATGTTAGATTGTTGTTCAGAAAGATGTTGGTCCTAGTGGGATTTTTAAAAACTGGGAAAACAAATAAACGCATGTATTACAAGTATAGAAATGGTGAATTGTAAACTTACCGTATAGTACTGATTCTATTTTCAAAGATGTTTTTGCTGTTAAATATATACAACATAAAATTGCTGCCGTACTGTAATTGAGTACTTTTTCCTAAATGACCCTGTTATCACTATTCCAGAATTAGAAGTTGGGCAGATATATGATTGATTCATGTGTCTGCATAGATGCTTCAAGGTATATTCTTCTCTTGGTGAGTAAAAATATTTTTTCCTTGGCATCAACGCATTGAGATCTGAATATACCTGTATCTATTCTTATTGCACATTTCTTATACAGTATCTTCAAATATGCCAGAATTGGCCTAGACTTAAAATTGAGGGTTTGTTACATGTTTTCTAACAGAAAGGTTTTCAATGATATTCATTATGGGTTTGTACTGTGAAAATAGTGAAAGTCCCTTTAAAATTTCATCTGTGCTAAATTTAAATTAATATTTTTTCTTTAGCTCACAAATTACCCTAAATCCAGAGAGAATATCAACCCTTTTCACTGTTGTCAAATCCAGCAAAAGGAACAGCCCCATGACACTACAAAAACAGTAGAGGAATAAAGAATAAATCTCTCATGTTACACTTCAGAATAAAGGCATTCGGTGAAAGAAATGAACCGAAGTTCATCGTGAATTCGAGGCTTCTGTACTTGACATTCCTCCACGGAAGGAAAGACAAGTGTCAGCACCATTGGCATCCTTTTCAAACCGATCTGATGTGGAATATCTTCCTCCACACTGGAGTACTTCTAGACTCTATTTTTGTTGTTGTTATTTATTTTGTTTTGTTTTCATTCATCAAACCTTTCTGTTTTAAAAAAAAATTTGTCGGCATTAATAGATATAGATTTGAAAATACTTTCTTAAGAGATCATGTAACTATATAACTCTGAATTTAAAAATTGAGGAGGCGGGATCATTTCAACCCACCGCCTCTTCCAAGAAAACATGTTTTTAAATCTGTAACTGCTTTAGTGTTAACAGGGTACAAAGTGTTTTTTGTCCTTTATTGTACTTAAAATGTTCTCATTGATTGGTGATTGTATTGTACTGTATGAAAATGAGTCATAAATTGCCTTGTATTGTTTCTAAGAGACCATACCATGTACCACTTCAGTTTTCATGTTCCACATTTTTCAGTGATGCATGTTAACAGTTAGGTCCGAAAATTCTGTGGTGCTAATTCTTCCATATCCGATGGTGCTTCTGTGGATGCTAACTGCACACATGCTGAACAAAGCTTGAAGTTTAAAACTTTCCTCCCTTCCTCTGTTTATATAAAGTACAATAAAAATAACTTGAATTTGTCTCAAAGTATCACTGACAATCTAATAAACTGGTTTATATGTGTGATTAGTTTGGATTCTCAGTTATTTTTCAAAAAGCAGATTAGTTCTCCTGAGCCCTCATATCAACCCAAAGTAGATCCTACTAGAAGTGTGTATTATGTTATTTGTGTCCCCAAATCTATGGTATATTCAGGAATTTAAATCCAGTTGGCCTGACTTCTAAAATCAAGTTTAGATCAGCACTATAAAACTTAGACTCATCAAATCTGGAAATAAGTTGAGAAGAACACAAATGTTCTGAGTGTCTATTTTAATATTTTATTAATAAAATTTTATCACCTGGTCCATGAGATAACATTTACATGGAAGCAAGTAGGCCTTCAAAATCTTTAGTATGATGCAAAGACATTGTAAAGACCATTCCTAAATGATATTTAAAGTTCCTCCCCATGAGTATGAAATGGGACCACAAAAAAAAAATCAAATTGGAACTTTCCAGAACAAAGCCAATATCACATGCCAGAATGGCATAATAAATAACTCCATGCAGGGGTTCACTGGATTTTTAACTTTAATATTTGCACTAAGAATCACAGCATTAGGACAAAAGAAGTTGCTTCCCTTTCTTCATGACGGCAGAGAGCTGTCTCTCTTCAAGTAGAGATAAATTCAATATTATGGCAAAGTGTGAATTCGTATGCTTGGCTTGGTATTTTTCCTAACTCAAGGATAACCTTAAATTTAAAAAGAAAATATCTATCTATATATATATGTGTGTGTGTGTGTGTGTGTGTGTTAATATACTGTATTGGTGTTTTTCTTTCTGACTTACTTCACTCTGTGTGATAGGTTCCAGTTTCATCCACCTCATTAGAACTGATTCAAATGCATTCTTTTTAACAGCTGAGTAATATTCCATTGTGTATATGTACCAAGGGAGGGAGGTGAGAGGGGGGTTCAGGATGGGGAACACATGTACACCCATGGCTGATTCATGTCAATGTATGGCAGAAACCACTACAATATTGTAAAGTAATTAGCCTCCAATTAAAATAAGTAAATTAATTTTAAATAAATAAATAAAAAGAAAAGATCCAGCTAAATCTATAAAGCTCCTCAAGCAACAATCATTGATCTCAAATAGAAGATGATCAAACCTATTAACCTAATCCAATGGGTCCATAACTGAAATGACATTCCCATACTACTATGGCTCTTTATTACATAAAAAGTGTAAGCTAGTTATTTTGCTTCAAATAGTTATTAAATCATGTCTAACTTCTAATGTCAGAAAATGAAGTTTAGAGACCAGAGCTCATGTGAACACTGGGTTTGCATGTCCATGACTTGGTTGTTGTTGGTTAGTCGATAAGTTGTGTCCAACTCCGTGCAACCCCATGGACTGTAGCCTGCTAGGCTCCTCTGTCCGTGGGATTCTCCAGGCAAGGATACTGGAGTGGGTTGCCATGCCCTCCTTCAGAAGATCTTCCCAACCCAGGGATCGAGCCCATGCCTCTTGCATTGGCAGGCGGATTCTTTACTATTGAGACACCAGGGAAGGCCCATCTCCATGACTATCTTGAACAAATGGCGATACGTACTAAATCACAGGCCCTCCCCAAAGACATTTCTACTGTATATTTTTATAACTACCTTTACAGGATTTCATCTCTTGAAAACTGGCAACTAATAAATGTACTACAAAATAGTTCCAGGTTTTCTTTCATGATGAAAAAGAGAAAGATCTATAAAATTTTTATTTCTGATAATATTTGCCTGTTAATTGAAAGAAAATTCTAATTTTATGAAAGGATAAGAGAATAAATAAGTTGATTTTGGAAAAAACAATCTACTTTTTAATCTACATGGAAAAATCTCTAATTTTTATTCCCGTGGCCAACCATATTTAAAATTACAGTTGACCATAGTTTGTCCCACCTAAAAAATTATTCTCATAAATTTTTTATCAACATTTTTAGTATGAAATTACTTTTAAAATCTCACCTGCCTTTTATAACTAAAAAGTAATAAAATGACTATACTTTGTAAGTTTAGTTGTTTATGAAAATAAAGTAGTCCCTCCCTCATTGAATGAAAACATCATTGAAGTTTTTTGAAAGATACAAAATTATATTTGCCTCTATAGTTTTATCAACCTTATTTTGTTAAGTTGCATTTTTTGTTCCCTAAACAATAATATCCCTTGGAGATCTTATGCTCAAGTGTCATTTGTAAAGTCTTGAATGAAAACTTAAATAAAGATCCAAATGTTTTTCACTGAAGAACATCTTTAAAGCTAAATTTTGTGTACACTAACAGCCTAACCTCACTCATCTTAGGGAACTGGTTTTTCTCATGAAGAATTTCTTTGAGTTTGAAAATGGCCAATGATAATAATATTGACCGTCTTCTTAGTTTTTTAGTTTTGTGTGTGTGTGTGTGGGATCCTAGTTCCCTGACAAGGGATCAAACAAACCCATGCCTACCTGCACTGGAATATGGAGTCCTAACAACTGGACTTCCAGGGAATTCTCTGACCTTTTTTTTTTAAAGTCAATCTATAACCTAAATTATTTCAAGCTTGCCTTCACACATTCTTTTTAAAACTACTGAAGTAAGTGCATACTAAGTTCACACTGAAACTACAGTTACTTTTCTTACCCCCTACTTTATTCTTGGGGAAGACTTCTAGAAAATAAGGGAAAATATTAACACAAAAACAAGTGAGTCGGGAGAAGGGATAGATGTATATGTATGACTGAGTCCTTTCTCTGTTCACCTGAAACTATCATAACATTGTTAACTGGCTAAACCCCAATACAAAATAGAAAGTTTAAAAAAAATTTTTTTAATCCAAGTAATTAGAAAAAAAAATCATAAGAGTAAATAAAATTTAAAATGCAGTAAGCACAGCACTACACATACTCTCCCTAAACAATCTCTCATATTCTAAGTGGTAACTGAAGTTTACACTTTTAGCAAAGCATAGTGTTTGCCATCATAAAAGATTTAATGAAAGATTGGCTTGTGGAAATTAAAAATGACTCTGCATGAAAGAGTTGGCCTTCAGTTTTGTGTGTTTAATAAAAATTCAGTCTTGTTAGTTCATTCTGGGTAAACACACAAGAGATTCCTTTCAAACAAGATCATTAAAATCATACCTTGAGCATCAGTATCCAATGGAGAAAACAATTTCCAACAGAAAATAGTGTTGCTTCGATGGAGTAGGATTGAAAGGAAACTGCACAAGAAGTGGACTTCACATTTTGCTTTTATACTTTTAAAATTATTTTTGCGAAAATCAAATTGTTTTTATAATTTTAAAAATGATTATTTAAAGGAAGGAAATAAATGCTAGATAGGTTAGATTACCTGTATCAACTGGTTGGCAATTCTCAGTAGGAAAATCTACTTCTTTATTCCTTTTTTTTCTTTTTTGAGACGGGTTCTCTATGTTGCCCAGGCTGGAGAGCAGTGGCTATTCACAGGTGTGATCCTGCTACTGACCTGCTCTTTTTCCGACCTGGGCAGGTTCACCCTGCCTAGGCAGCCTGGAGGACCCCCACTCCCTGGAGCTCACCATATTGATGCCCAACTTAGTGCAGACACCCGCTCCGCGTTGCTCACTATAGCCGATAACTCCTAGGCTCAAGTGATCCTCCAGCCTCAACCTCTGGAGTAGCTGAGACTCCAGGCGTGCACCACCTCACCCACAGAAAATCTACTTCTAAAATTTAGTAACAATGTTTCTTGACAAGTATAAAATCGATAGAAAGAAAATGAGTAACATTAATGAATAGCATCATCTTATGATGGACTCCATGATACAAACCTGCCAAGAAAAGGGAAATAATCACATCAGCTCATCAGAGCCATCACCCCATAAAGGTATAACTACCAAGAGATCAGACCACTTGGGAATGAAGGTTTGAATCATACCAGGTAAGCCACTGATTCCTGCCAAGTGAGAGAGGGGGTGAGCGGTAATTTAGAATGGATGATGAAGGAGGAACAGGATGCGTTCCAGTTGTGGCCCTGAGATCAAACCCAGCAGCATTGCTTTCTCAGATTGTAGTTGCTACAGACGTTTGAGAGCAGATACTGTGGGGCGAGGGAGTACCTAGAGGCGGCTGGAGTGGATCATGCAGGTTCCTCACACAGTTCCTCCCTCCCTGCCCCCTTGTTTAAAGCAGCACCATCTCCTTCTACTGATCAGTCAATTATCCTTCCTCAGATAGCAACTCCTCTTCCAACCTGCTGGTTCCTTAGCAA